TGAATGTACAGAAGTACTATGGCAGCAAAAACTTCACAAATTATAGATCTATGGATGCAGAAATGAGAATAATTTGCTTAAGGAATTGAAAGACCAGTGTTGCAGAAGCATAGAAAATGAGAGAGTGGTCAGTGCATGATGAGTTTAGAGACTGGCAGGGATCATAGTAAAAAGTGTGGACTTTATTCTAATTATACTGAAAAGCTACTAGAATATGTTAAGCAAGAAAGTTATACAGTCTGACTTGTGCTTTAGAGAAGGTCCCTTTGGCTAGCTGCATAGAAAATCGACTTTTGGGGAAGAAAGGCAAGAACAGGACAAAGGCAAGGTTAGCAGCTGTCACAACAATCCACTCAGGAGATGGAGAGCTTGGATCCTTGTAGGTGTAGGGCAGGTGGAGAAAGTGAAATCTTCAGGACACACTTTGGAAGTACAGCCGAATGGCTTCCTAGTGGACAGCAATGAGGAATATGTATCGAGGATGAATCCTACATTTCTTACTCCGGTAATCAAGTAGAGGCTAATATCATTTATTGAACTGTTGAAGACATGGGGAAAACACTAGGAAGTAGGATCAGGGGGAAAGGTAAAGGTTAGGTTAGAAATCTCATTCACTGTTAAATTCAAAAGAGATGTTGAAATTCTGTGTCTAATGCTTTTATTCAATGCAATCTCAGACCACTCATCTTTTTTCTGTCTTCTATACTCACATAGCTCTGAACCACCATCACAAGTGGCCTTCATACCAGTCACATTTCTGTCTTTTTTAGCTTCTCAGCAGCAGTCAAAGCTTTTACTCACTCCCTGGTTCTTATAATGCTTAAAATACAGCATCCGAATTTGAGGAGGTTGTATGCAAGTACAGAGGCACTGTCAACTAAGTACAGTCTTAGTTGTTCCAGATGTGAGCTTAAACCTCCCTGTCCTCTTAAGATTTGGACGTGAATGGCCGGCAAACACATAACCTGCTACACTCCAAAATGTCAGCTGCCTTACCCCAAATTTCTTTAAATTCCTGAGTGCCTTACTAGGGAATGAGTTTAGTTATACTTTGTGTGTCTTTTCCTTCTCTGATGTACCTGAGCTACTCACTAAGTCAACCTAGATAGATACATAGCTTTTTTTCTTGCTTTGCAAAAATACCACATATAGTCTTTGGGTTTGTAGCAGATTTTATTTAAAATGTATATTTTATTTAAAATGTATATTTTATTTAAAATTTACACTATAGAATATAA